AGTTACGGCGAGGTAACATTACCGAGCGGACAGTTTGATAGTCGGTCCTCGCTCGTGAACGGCGAAGACCGGATGATCTTACGATATTTTCTCCCGTAGCAATTTTCCGCCTTTCATCGCGCTGCGCGTAAATCATTATTAGGCGAAGTCCATCTTCCCGTCCACTGGAAAATTATTAGGTGTACCTACGCCGATCGGTTCGCTGTAATCCTGTAACATCGGTTGGAAACGTCTTCCTGTCTCTTACGGTGTTACACGCGACCGATTATGTCGGGGAAACGACGGCGCTATCGTCCGCGTATCTTGGTAGTTCGCGGAAAAGGAGTCTTTTAGCGCCGCTAACGATTCGAGCGCGTTCGCGCGCACTTTCGCTGCTGGATAAGCAAATTCTGCGATTTCTTCTTCTTATACGACACCTTGATCGATCAGCTCGCGGCGGTCTCGAGGATATTTATCAAAAGTTTGATCGTGTCCAAATCTCCTCGCTTCTGATCGAATAGAAAAACTGCGTTACGTAAAAATCTCGAACGCAGACTTTTGTTTACCAATATTTTTTGACGTCAGTCTTTCTACATTAAGAAGACATTAGTGAAATAAGGACATTAATGAAATACAAGGGATTAGATCGTTGTCATCGACTCTTCTCATTTTAGAGCTTTCAGTTTTATCAGAGACAATTTCTGGATCACCTTTAGAATGGAATCGTGTCTTCCGCAGCTCTCGGTATAAATATTCATGCTGTTCGACCGCGGATCTTCGCGCAAAGGAAAAATGTTTTGCGTCAACCGCGGCAAATAGAAATCACGTTGTAGTTCGGTATAATCGCGTTACATTTTTTGTCCTACACGTGTAACATTCACGGTCTGTTCGAAACGCATGAATAATTTTAATAGCTCGTGTGCGAACACGAATCGCGATGGAAAGAACGCGGCATTGTGTTTCGGATGCGTAAAGATCGTCCGGAGCTCGCGTCGGGGCGCAAGACGATGAGTATCGAGCCCGGTAATTGAAATCGCGGTTGCTACAAATTCTCCGAGCCTAATTATCGGTTCGCCACGCGCGCGGTAATTAGCGCAAGGAGCGCGAGGAGCGGAAGCGGCGCAGGCCGCGTTTTCACGGTTCCAGGAGACGCGAGTCGTGACCGGGCCCGTTGGCACTTTTGTTTCAACAGCGCCGGTAATATATCCACGTTTCGCCGGTGACAAATTATCTAGTGGCGACTTCCTAGACGTTATCTCGTCCGGGACAAGACGCCGCGACGCGGCGCGGCGAGGCGCGGCGTGCCGGCGGCTCCTGGATGCCGGGGCCGAGGATGTTGCCGTGAATACGCGCGCCTTTATACGGTCCCGTTGCTGCGGAGGTGAAGGATGACTGAAAATCTCATTAGCCAACAAATTTCGAACACGTACGGAGAATTTACGGCCCGGAATTGTAATCACGCCTGATAAATACTCGGCCTTCCCACCGCTTTTCTCCTCGCTTCTGCCGTTTGTCGCTGGGAGCTCTAGTTCTCCGTTGTTGCCGGAATTTCGCAGGAATCTTTTACCTTTTCTCGCTTGAAAGTATATCATTTCCTGGAAAATGGTACCCTTCGATCGTATTCCAATTGTTCTACTCGCACGCGATTGCGGAAATACTGTACGAAGGCAAATATAATTGTGCATTTTGCGGATGACGGAAAGTTGTGCATTTAAATGCAATTTTTCGATCTCTGCATCGTGTTAGAAATGTTGCATCGAGGGAATTATTAGCGTTCCTTTGAACGCAGTTTTTGCCATCTATGTTAGAAATTCTGTACGAACAGAATTAGCCTCTTCTTCGCGCGAAGAGGCATATTGTTCTACAATTGATTAGAATTTTTCAATTTGCGGACGACGTTAGAAAGGCAAAATGAAGCGAAGGGTACGATTAAATTCAATTTTTGCGATCTGTACACCGCAGACCGGATCGCTGCCGTTTAATTGAATCCGAGTTTTTCAATCTGTACACGATCGAAATGATTCTCACCTGGAAATGTCATGGAACCGTATATTTCGTTCGCCGTTGTACCACTGAATTAACGGATACATGCCTTCGTAATTAACTCTCGCTCGATTGACCGATAGCGGCGAGCGGTCTCATCGATGAAGTGAGACGGTTTCACAATTCGCACGGCGAAAGGTTAAAACGACTCCGGGTAATTACACGTTTTGCTCGGTTACGACGAACGTGAGCCAAGCACAAGTTATTTCCATGAAACGAATCGGTGCTCCATGCACCGTCTTCGTTCCTCGGGACCGAAGATATCGAAGACAGATAACTTCGAACGTTTGATAATAACCGAAGCACAGGTTTCATCGCCTTCGCTCGCTAAAATGGCATCCTCTGATATTTCGTATGAACTTTCCAAACAAACGATTTTCGTGGAATCCGCAAACTTATCGATTATACTCGATTAGTCCGCGCGGTTTTTGCATCCGCGGCAGAGACGAGTGGGCGGACGATAAAACAGGGCGAAAGAGTTGAGCGAATGCGAAGATGCCGGCACGTTGTTTAATTCGCTTTTCTTGCTAAACGTGCGTCTAGATTTCTCGTCGCATCGCCGACCTTAATACGCGACGAATAAAATATCTCATCGATTTATAAAGATCCACAGTCGCTGAACTAGAAATTATTTACAATTCAATCCAATGAAACGTAAAATTGGTTTCCGTCGTTCCTGCGTGGCTCGAATGCTCTTTCGGTTTCATTCGATCGATCGATCGAACATTGCAAAATTTTGTATTCCGAATCGTATTTCGACACGTTCCAGAGGCTCGTTTAAATAATAAATCCAAGTGGAGCATAACGCTAAAAATTGTTCGGCGCTGGCTAATTGTCGATACCACCAGCCGGCTTACCGTTACGCGATTTTCCGCTGCGCCGTAGCCGAGATTACAATTTCTAAGCGGGGAACAAACCCGCGGCGACCTATTTGGACCGCGTAGAAATTTATTACCCGTTTGACCTGCCCGATCGGGCCTCCGATGCGGATTGATTCCACTTGACAACTTGTTTGCACTCTCTTCCTCTTCCCTCTCGCTCGTCGCGGCCGCGGCCGTTTCTCCGGTCCGCGTTTTCATGAATACGAGTGCTAAACAAACCGAGCACGCGATCCGGTCGCCGCGCGCGAACGCGAAACACGCGCCGCGTCGCGCCGTAATCGTGATGGATTTTCACGCGAACGCGGCGCGGCGCGGCGCGACGCGTATGCGTAATGGCCACGATGTCGCGAATCTCGGCGACAGATCGCCGAATGAAAAAAAGCAAAAGAGAATATCGCGAGGAATTCCGCCGGCGATTTTCTTTCGCGCGAATCAATAATAGATAGCTGCGGACGCGGCGACCAGTTTTTCAAGAAACTTTCAGTCCTCGGTATTTCCAGATGGAAAAGTTCCCTCGAGCGGCGCGAATGTCTTCTTATATCTTCGACAAATATTGAAGAAACTCCCCTCTCCCTTCGCCGCCGCGGTTGCAGCGCCGGGTGCAATACCGAGTCAAAATTCGAGGAAACTTACAGCTGTTCCTTGCTACTTTTGCACGGATCGCGTGAACGTTCGCGACGGGACGAAACGCACCGAGTTTACCGAGAAAAACGTTGCAGCCGGGTATTGCCGCATATTTTTGCCGAAGAATCTCGAACCCTATCTATCCGAAACACGCGCGCGCGCGCGCGCCCAAACCGCCATAAACCATAGGTGTACCTCATGATCGGACCCGACCAACGATGAAGAGTTTCATGTTATAAGTTGACGATCGATTTGCCTTGTAATAACACGGCTTTGTCCGAGCCCCGCGGCCCTATATTAAGCATTCCGGAGCAACGATGCAATAATGCGGGTCTATCGGTGCATAGAAATGAAAACAGGACGGTACGGTGAATTTAAAATATTTCGCGAAGATATTGCTCTCTGATCACGGTTATGCACCTACACAGGGATAGGGACCCCGGGACCGGGATAACGTAATTTTGGAAGAACCTTCCCGGTTACGGTATTCCTTCACGGCCAGTCCCTCGAGTCCTCTTTGACCTGTCGCGGGAATCGCTGATATCAACAGGATTATTGCATTCTCCTTTTATCGGCGGAATCGAATTAATTGGTCAACATCTTGCGAACGATTCTTCTCGTTTCTTCACGCTGAACCTACCGAATCCAAAGAGAAACTAACGCGGGTTGCTTTGCAACGATGAACAGACCTTTCGCTATTTTTATCGCAACGTTTGCTCGGATCAAGAAATTTATTCGATCGTTTTTTACGAAAGCGACTCGTTATCGTTACCGCACAACTTTAAATCGAAAGAAATTACTTTATTCGGAAGTTGCACGCTCGGTTCTCTTAATTAGTCGATCAAGTTCGAAACAGAGAACTTATCTTGCCCTGCGATACGGACCGCGATACGCTCCGCTTCTTTTTATCGATTCAACTCGATCGAGTTTTGGCGAGATTTTTGGCCCAAGTGGAATATATCCGTCGCGTTAATTCGCAGCCGATGTAGCATCTGGATACCCTACGGCATTATGTAAGTCGGTAACAATTACAGATTTTATAGGCTGCATAATTCTATGTTCGATCTTGCTCTTCGCACTGTGACAGAAAAAACGCCTAACCGGTTTCGGTTGCGTAACTCACCGTTTCTCACGACAAACGCTAAATTTAGTAATTCCGACCGAATCCGAATCACCGCCTAAAATCTCCTCGAGTTCGGTCGGTTGTAAAAGTCCTGTTGTAAAAGTGTAACCGACAAAATTCGGGAACCGGTTGTGCCGGCGATGCCGAATGAAAACTTTGCGTAAGCCCTAATCGCGAGGTCGGACATTAAAGAAATTCGGTTGCCGCGATCGCCGCGGAGTCTGCGCCAATGAAATTGAGCCATCCGACGGTCGGTTTGCCAACGCAACGGCGAACAGGCGTTAATTGATCCCCCGATCGATCGTAACGATTCCTCGACTACAAACGCCGACGTGTTTTCGCTGTTGCAGACATGAAACCATCGGACAGGAGCGAGAAGGCGATGCTGAGTGGGAACGCGCAACCTTCGGACGTGTTCTGTTCGGTTCCAGGACGATTATCGTTACTAAGCAGCACCAGCAAGTACAAAGTTACGGTAGCCGAGGTACAAAGACGACTATCGCCACCGGAATGCTTAAACGCGAGTCTCCTCGGCGGAGTCTTACGGAGGTAAGATATCTGCGTCGAAACTTCGCTTCGCTTCGGTTCGTCTCCGTTGCACCGCGCTGCACCGCGCTGCACCGCACCGCGCCGCTTCGGGCTTCGTTTGCATAATACGATTTTATAAGGGGATTAGCTCTCCTATAGTCAGGCAATGATGCGCCGCTGTTTGATGGCACTGCGCTCTCTCGACCTAACCAAATATCGCCCCTCGTTAAATCTATGGCTTCTCTATTAAAATTACCATCTTCGCTTCCACCGACGACCCCGCCACACGGTCTAGTTTTCCAGAGTTTCTTTTTTCGAAAGCATTTATCTTTCTTCGAGCTAAATATGTACCGTTACGTTTTCGAAACAGACATTCGATGGCTGGATCGATCATTGGATCGCGAACTTCTTGCAATTGTGGCGGCGATGAATGGTTGAGACATTAAATTGTGAAAACATGAGAAGAATTCGATAATGTAGTTACGCTATTTTCGATCTATCATTTGAAAAATAGAACAATCGATGTTTATTTAATTTCTGTTTCTCTTTGATTTTCCACAAAGATCCGCGCTCTAATAATCATTCGTCGAAGTAGTACTCGACTCTTGAAAAAAATAGCTTAGATTCTTAAGAGAACTCTTTTTAATTAAGTTAAACTATCCGTAAACTGTCTACGAGAAGTTCGTAATTGTCAACAACTGTTTTACAATCTTTCTTCGGTCGCGTTCACAGAAGGAATCCCGAATATTTAAACGAACGGTTAAAAAAACGTAGAACGAACGAATTATCGATTAACAAGAACGAAGAAAAAATGACACAAAAGTCGAGCAACATTTCTCCCGAAATCCATTTCCGTATAAACGCAACGCGTCCGACTTTCCCTCGCGTATCAAACGATCTTCCTGAAAAAAACAGTAAGCCTGTCTTAGGTCTACGGAAAATCTGTGTGACCCAGAAAAAAAAGGGTCAAGCCCACGTTCCGGTGAAAACGAATCAACGGCGGATCCGAATGGGGAACACTCGTGTTCCCAGGACGAACATCATAATACAGCGATGCCCTCGGTCCATTAGTTTGAAGATGACAGGTGCAGCCGTATAATAGAAAGCGTGAACCGTTAGACGTTATTGATCGAGCTTCGAAAACAGATTCGGAGAGCGAAACGGCGAAGAAGGAAGCATTTTAATGAGAAGCGGTATTAATAAAAGTCCGCGCAACAGTCCCGAGCATTTGTACGACGCGCGCGGAGGAACCAGAGCAGAGTACACGATCGGTGGGAACAATGGGCGAGATAGAGGGCACCGAGGAACCCAAGATACCGATATCTCCGGACCCGAAGCCGGAGCCGGACCGTTATGCGACTCTATCTAGCTAGTTAATTAATAAACGCGCGTTCGCCTTCATTCGGCCGGCTCATACTCGGGCACAGACAGCCGGCTGATTTATGGGTTCCTCTCTTGGGAGCGGGAAGCGCTCTTCTTTATCTGATCCACCATTTTACTCCGACAGAACACTATCCGTTGCGCAATGCTTTATCACCAAAGGCGTGGATAAATCACCGCAGCAGCCGCCGCGCCTCGCCTCGCCTCGCCTCGCCGGATATATCTCACGCACGCGAAACCGACGCAACCGCGATTCGCGAGATTCGTTGGATTCCGGTTTTTTACGAAACAGATGAGCGTGTTTCGCCGTGACAGGTAATGACCGTGATCTCCTCGGCGCTTCCGATACACGAGATGCTAACTAGACAGTGGGAACCGCAGTAGTGCGAGTCAGCGGCTCTGTCATATTCGACTGCACTTTACAGACGGTGCACTTGAAAAGTTCTTGGAAATCGTTTTTCGCGAACTAATCGGTGGCGCGATCTTCGCTTTACTTTATCGTCTGATTAGTAGGAACCTATTGGCCAGCTCGTGCGTTAATTATACCGGCTTGTCCGCAACGTCGTTTGCGCGCGACACACCTTCGACGAAGCCTGGTACAATCGACCTAGAATTTCGATGACAGAGCTTACGAATATCTACCGATTACATTTTGATTCATCCAAAGATCTCCGACAGTTTGTGGGAAAAACGCTCGGAGAGTATATAAGATTTCGCGTCCGATATCGAAGCGGAATAAAAATACTAGAACTCGTTCTTGGGGCACCGACCCATTCGTATCTGGCCGGAGCTCGTCTAGTAGTCCCATTTCTGTAGAACGTCGTCGTACATAAATAATAATTATTAATTGATTCTCGCGTCTCGCGACCAAAGAAAACCGGGAACGGATTATTCATTGGTTTTCGTCGAACTCGATACTCGTCGGACTCTCACTCGCTCGACTCTCGTGAAAAAGGCGCGCGGGTTAATAAGCAATTCATCGATTCGTCGCTAGGCATCGGGATAGTTATGACCGCCGGTGTAACATCTAACTGTCCGCGGGTACCATAGCCGAGGGCTGTGTTAGGACAGCGCCTCGATCCGTGGCGAATTCCCGGCCAAGACGGCGAAAGGGTACGAAGAAAAAGGGAGCGTGGAATAAACTGCCAATAAAGCGGCCGATCTATTCCCAATGCAAATGAGACATTAATAATTGCGTGGCTCCGAGTGTCAATTCCTCGTACGAGCCTCGTACGGCCCTCGGGCTGGCATATGGCAGCGCGCATTCGACGCGCACACCGCAGACCGCGACGATATAATTCATCCATTCGAATAGCGATCCGGCTGATAATTACACGCGCCGCGCCGAGCAGAGGTGAAGAGTGGCGAGGAGAGGAGAGGAGACGAGAGAAGAGGAGAGCAGAGAAGAGAGAAGAGAGCAGAGGAGAGCAGAGGAGAGGAGAGCAGCACCGCGGCCCGGCCGGGCTCCTCTTGCCACCATAGATTCTCCACCGTGGCCCCCGTCCGCCTTTCTTTTGTCTCTTCTCGCTCTCTTCGCAAACCCTTTCGCGGTGTTCTACCTTCACGGTGAATTAAGGTTTACGAGCGACGGGTTTACTGTGCCGCGAACGATCTCGCGTCGGCGTCGCTTCGTGCAGTCGCCAAACCCCTCTTCCCGATTGCCGGTTGCTTCGGCGAAATTAAAATTGCAGCTTGGTTTATCGGCCGTTCGCCACCGACGCGACGGCCATTGCTATTTTATTAACCGAGGAATCGATCCTCGGGTATGTTTCGGTTCCTCGTTCACGGTTCTGCGCTCGAATCGCCGATTTCTCTGGGCTACATTCCGGCCGGTCGAATTTGCCGTGTTCCGTCGACTCGCGTACGCTGCTCCTCTCATCTGTCCGCGATTTTAGGGCTGACTCGCAGGTGCCGCATTGGCCAACGATAATCGTATGCACCTTTCGGATGAAATAACTTCTACTTCGAAATTCGATCGAATCGCTTGAATTCTTTCCTTCTTTTTTTTGATGTTAGGGGGACTAGTTTTTTACTTTTCTTTTTTGTCCTTCCAGTTAATTGTAATTTCTGTAAAAACAGTTTTGCACTTTATTTAATAAATTGGTCCTTCTAATATATTATAATATAATTTCTGTTCCACAGGAATCGTAAAGAAGTAAAAGGCCGATCGGTTCGGCAAACGATTCCGAATGATCAAAGTGAAATAGAAATATTTATTTGAACTAATAACGCTCGATAGAACTGGTACCGTCTCGTTATATCGCACCGCTATCTTGCACGACCGTGTGTGAAATTAGAAATCCCGGAATCTATTCGAATCGATTAGAGACTGATACGGGTGCAGCAGAAAGAAAAGAGAAAGAATGGAAATTCGATAGGACAGCGCCGCGTCGTTCCCATAACGGCGCTGCGGTAATGCGCTGAATTATCGGCGCTGCTTGCGCTATTCTTCGCGCGATAAGCAAACAAGTTTTTGTCGGCGTTAGTTGTGCAACGACAGTCACCGTAACTCGCGTCCAGTCAGAATTCCCCGCTTTTGCAACTACTTATTATTTAATTTTCTTCGTGTTTACTTCACTTCGGTGGTTGCGGCGCGACGCGACGCTGCGCTGCGCGCGCGGCGGCAGCAGTAAATTCAGAAGTTACGATGCTCGAGCCCGCTCGGATAAAAAGAGAACGGTGAAAGAAGGGTGAGGATCAACGATACGACTGACAGATGAACGTTAATCTTTTTACGAATAATCAACGATGCCCGAGTTATCCGTCTGACAGAAACAATTCTATCCGGAGGATCTTTTGCAACGCGATATAACTGTCGATCGTAAACCCTCGTTTGGCCGTAAACATAGAACGGCCGGCAGGAAGAAACGAAAGTGGAAGAAGTTAGACGAACGAAAGCGAGAATTAAAGGAAATTTACGATGTTATCGGGTATCGGTTGCGTCTTCGGGGAATTCATAAAACGAATTGAATGGAAGTTCAGGAGGTATCATTGCTGTTTAACGATCTCAACGAGGGAACTTACGCCCGGGTTCGTCGAACACGGATTTCTCGGTTCGATCGCGGGACGAGGATTCTTCGGAGCCCTGTAAACGTCGTCCTCGGTCAATTGGATTATCTATCGGAGATTTGGATAACGCGAAAAATGAGCGATACGATCTTTCGTTAGGCACACGGTCGAATTATACGTCCGCAACTTCTGCAAATCGTGCGGCTAACGAGATCATCCGCGTCCCAAACGCGACCGACGCGCGTTACACCGTAACGACGACACGGCGCTGAATTTAATTGGACTATTTCGAATTTTTACTACGACGGATTAAGAAATATAGTTAGCCATTTCCTACGAAAGCGTCTTTACAAGCGGTTACTTCGAATAGCTTGTTGAGCGGGGTTGGCGTTAACAAGGTTAATGAGATCGACGCGTTCAACGAGAAAGCGAACAATGCGCGTAACATAAATCGCGAGTGGACGTCGGAGTGCTCGACGGATAGAAGAAAAAGAAAATGGAATTCCCGAATATTTATTATGCAACGAAGTTGCCAGCTGGCCGACCGGAATCCATCGATACGGAATTAATGGGGCGCATTATCGAAGGTGTTCCATGGTAAACACGGAGAAATTACAATGGCAAATTGTTTCGCTGCCAGGGATAATCCAGGGAGTCGTTAACCGATCGCAAGAACGGGGCAGCCACGAAAATGAAACAGGGAATTATGAATAAAACATACGGTCAAATTGCCTTTTACGATTGCCACGCGAAAAACGCGCGTTTACGCTTCCACGGCGCGGCGTGGCGCGGCACGGCGCGGTGCCATTCCGGCGAGTAAACTTCCTTTTTATACCGTTTCAACACACATTTACACGGACATTATACGATACACCGTGGAATCTGAATAGCTTCTCAGACGTAATCGGCCGTAACTCAACCCCCGAGTAAGAAGTTAATGCCGCGTCGCTGTTAGCGAGGACTGTTAAAAAGTCAGTAACACCGAGCGTAGTTCGCGAACGGTACGAGTCAATCGCTTGTATCAGCTGTCGAATCGGTCCGACGCTTATGCGAAAAAAAAGAAGACGCATTGGTAATCCGATTCTTCGATTGTGATCGATTAGAGACCGCGGAGTGTGTTGTTCAGTCTCAGAATTGGTGCAGCAGCGGAACCGACTGCTGCGGGGCGAGAAATTGGCAGCGCCTTTGCTTCGTTTTCGGGCACAATTAAATTGATATTTATCGAATAAGACGCGACGAACGAACCCAAAGATTCTCGCATTCGACCCCCCGATTTTGTCGTTGAGGTTCCATCGAGGATCGTTAGTGGCGCAGTCAAGGGCACGTTCGATCGAGGCAAGGTCCTTTCGGTAGTTCGGTAATACGGCGCGCCGCTCGCAGACGATTAACGATGCCAGTATTCGAGGATGTCTCGAGTAATCAGGGGCGCAGGGTGTTCTAGGGTTGCGGATCGAGTCGAAGGGCGCGAAGAATATCGCAGAAATCCTACGAACGAACCAACGAACGAACCTCGTTCGGCGAGAATCCTTCCCGGAACAAGACTCTGTAATGAGTAGAGAATTGCTCTCGTCACGTTCAAAGGACTCGCTGCGACGGCGTCAATAATAAATAAATGTATATGGACATAAAAGAGCCGGACAAAAAGATGGAAACATTGCCTGCGAGTTCCGAGCCGCGTTTACGCGATTGGTAGTCGTGAAACTGTGCCTGTACGAATGCATATGTAAATGCCGATGATTGATAGCTAGGATGTCGTTTGCATCTTCGAAAAATTGAAACAAGACGGTTTGTTATGTCTCTCTCTCTCGAAAAAAATTCATTAACCACTTGTTAATTCAAAATGATACGCCTCGACAATGATTGCGTTAAACATCTGACATTGGGGTTCATTATTTCGTCAAACCCTTGTCTGTATAAACGATTTCTGTTTTTCTTCCTGTTTTTTTCTTTTTTCAAGAAAAGGAATTACGCGTTACGTGATTGTTCTTTTTTATGGAGCAGCGGGAATCGCGGATGACACCGACGTTTTCTTTTCCAGCGACACCCAACGCATTGATATCGGAGATGAGTTAACTGTCGCCGGGAAGAAAAACTTCGCATAAAATATTTTCCTGGCAAATGCTCCGCTGCGATAACGAGTAGATAATCGCTACGGAATAATTGCATATTAAACGCGACCGTTAAGGAACGATGAATAGAAAAATACGTGAATATGTATTAGTAGACCGTGCGCGTACATATGCATACGCGGATATCTGCAATTAACGAACGAGTATACGTGCTACGAGTCCGGCGTGATTTTAATATTGCACGATACGGTTCTTCATACGATGATTACACGTTTTAATAAATTCCTACGGTGGGGAACATTATTCCGTGGCGTGCCTAACAAATATCCCGGAATTCTGCTCTTATGAATGTAAAGAATACGAACCGAATGTAACGTGCGCCGGTTCGTCGTAATTGAGTTTAAACAACGTTTGTTAAATTAGCTAATTAATATCGGAAGATACCGTTGCAATGTTGTAACCAGCAAGAACAAATTCAATGCGTTCGTTGTTTCACGCTTTCAATTTAATCCTTTCGGGATAGGCACAACAGGTTCGTTCGTTCTTGCCATTGAAACCGAAACTATGGGAATTTACAATTGCCATTCTTAATTAGGAGTGCACACTTTTTCATTGAATTCCTGCCGCAGTCTCCCGATATCGACAAATGTTACACGAAAAGGTAATATTCCGTAAAAGCAGCGGTTTCGGATACTTTACGTTTCCAATATCGAGAAATATCGTCCGCATTTATGCGCTATTTTATTTATAAAACAAATCGCAGGATTTTCTTTTCCGCGAAGACGAGAACAAAGATGATATCTCTGTCAGAGATTTTAACCGCGATCCGAGGTAGATAAGAATCCCATTAAAGTCTAAACATTTTTGTCGGCGTCGGAGATCGATAACGCGAAAATTATACGAAATCCGTGATCGAGCGATCGCGTTTACAATTTCGATCGACTTGCCGTCGTCGAAAGCGCAATCGGAGCAAATAAAACGGTGCTCGTCGCCGCCGCGCTGCGCCGCGCCGCTTATCTCGCGCGTTGCGAAATTACACGGGAGAAACACGAAATTAATCGACAGCGTAGAATCGAGGAGAGGCGTATTAAAATGTTATAACGGTAAAGTGTATTAATTACCGAGCGAACCGAAAGATTACCGGATTGACCGGCTGCCCGAGCCGAACAAAGGTGGGCGATATACGCGTTACCGTTATCTTGGTCCTTGAATGATGGATGAATAGGGCGTGTGGAGGAACACTATCGAATTCTCGACGCTGCTCCGCAAAAAGACGTACTTCAGAACCTGTTAGCGTCACGTGTCGCCGGGATTCTTGACTCGCTGAAGTATGATCAGCGCCGCGCGTCAAGAAACTGTTCGCTCGAGTATTTTCTAATAGATTTCCTGTTCGATTGTCGCTGTTTCTTCGTTCCCGTCGAAATTACTTTAACATTTCTACCGCGGCAGCGGTAAACCGTTCAGTTTTTCTCTCCTAACACCAGAACCACCGAGCCGCTCAAAATCACCGGTTTCTGCTTCGATCTTTTACAACTTCTGATGCTATAAACGTGTTTCTACGAGAAACTTGGAGACTAAATAAATCCAGTATTGTTACCGTTGTAAAACAATGTGTGTACATTTTACTCGGATTCAGGGCTAATCGAATTCTTCGAGAAGGAAACTCGAAGTTAATTACCTCGTGTAACGAAGAGAATGATTCTTTATTGTCTGATATGTTTATGTAATGCAAGAAAACATTCCCGAATCTTCGCATTTTCGCCCGATTTGTAGCGTTCGTTGGAACAGATACAAAATGTTGCGAGCATCCTACGAGATGACAATACAGTAACGTCTCTCTAATCGACGCTCAGATCTTCCACGAAAAATGGGTAATTTGGGAAGAGGAGACACGATTATTCGAGCCTTGCGGCTCGTTTTTATAATCGCTGACAATTCGTAACTATAAAAACAAACCGCGGAGCTCGAATAATCGTATCTCCTCTTCCCAAATTACCCATTTTTCGTGGACAATCCGAGCGTCGATTAGAGAGACATTACTGTATTGCCATCTCGTAGGATGCTCGCAAACATTTTGAAACTGTTACGAGTTGTCAACAATTATAAAAACGAGCCGCGAGGCTCGAACAATCGTGTCTCCTCTTCCCAAATTGTCCGTTTCTCTCCACAATCCGAGCGTCGGTAAGAGAGACATCGCCGTACTCTCCGTCATTGGGCTCCATTCGATAGAAACGGGGTCAGATCATAGCTATTTTTCTGTTTGCCACAATTAAGACGCGTGAGAGTGTAACCTGGTTGCGAGACTTGCACGCGTTCAATGTCTTCGATAGCGTCTCCGTCCTCGGCCCTCGGCGATCGACTCGGATACCCGCTGGCCGTGTGTCGCCGTTGCTCAATGGCCGATGGATGACACGCGTAGCCACGGATTATGCTAATTCTCGAGTTTCTCTGTCGTTGTCTTCTCCGTCCCGCCAGCCTCCCTCTTTCTTTCTTCTCGGCCGCTCGTCGATTTCTTTTTTCCTCCTCCAAAGATCGCGGCAAAAATGATTAATGAAGCAGTCCCATTTCGAAATTCCCGCGCGGCCATTGGCTCGACACGGCACCCGAGGAACGTCGGTGTAACAGTGTACACAAACGGAACGAACAATCGGATGGATCGAGAGAGACAAAGGCCCATTTCGGTTGCTCGACCCAACCGGGAATCGTCCGGTTGCGCAACTCGATGCAAATTCTGCGCTTACGGCGGCTGGGTGCATTTATCTAACCTTGCACCGTCGTAATATACCCGCGGTATAGTCGAGTTGACGGAATAATTTTTCGGTTCATCCTTTTGAAAGGTCGTTCCACGGTGGTCAACTTTTTTTCAGAGTCTTGAATTTTCTGAAATTTTTGTATTATATTATACATAGTACAGTAATGTCTCTCTAATCGACGCACAGATTGTCCACGGAAATGGACAACTTGGGAAGATTGTTCGAGCCTTGTGGCTCGTTTTTTATGGTTATCGATTTATTGTAAAAACGAGCTAAAAAATCGTATTTTCTCCTCCCAAATTGTCCATTTCTGTGCACATTACTGTATATCTTATTTATATTTTATATTTTCACATTTATTATATATTGATTTGATATTGTAATTGTAATTAACTTAATTGCATCGAATTTAATAATTTCTTAAATCGGTACCGATTCTAATGTTCTTTCATTTGTAGGGCGAAATCCAAAAATGGCGGGCGTCTGCTTAGGGAAAAGTTGGAAAAAATTGGACTTAACTTGCCAGCTGGAAGGAGGAAGGCCGCCAATGTCACGCTCTTGACATCGCTAGTGGAAGGTGAGTTTTCTGTCCTGTACGATGTTAGACACTGTCCCTAAAAATGCTTCTGTGAAGCATTCGAAAAAGCCGAAATAAAGTTCCATTTCCTTGTTCAACGATCTTGGAAGAATAATGATATAATATCGCACGCGAATTTCAATAAAATTTTCATAAAACGCCGGAGATTCTCGCGAGCTGAAACCGCGCAAACATTCGCTGCTCAATATTTGCATGAAATTTCAATTTCGAGATAAAGAGGCCCAAGTACTTTTTGAAAGTACGTATATACGTGTACCGTAAACGTTTCGGTCGCGCAAGCCGTGCATACACCTGTGTACACATTTTTCGACGACTCGGCATACAGAAATCGCGGATGCGCGAACGAAGCAAGATATTCTGAAATCTCTCGCGATCGAGGTGACACGTGCGTACCCGGAGGATAATTATCCCGCGCTCGATCGCAATATCGCGACGTGAACTTTGCTTGTCTTTCTCATTAAATCGGTCTACGATGTATGAACTTCTTGTATGTTTTTCATGGATCCGAGTTAATCAGTCGTAAAATTAAGGCCCCGATGCGCAGAGTTTGAATATATAATTTATAAGCCTAGTTAATGTATCATATTATCGGTTATTTGCATTTACATGAATAATATCACGACTTGTTCATCAATGGCTTTATGTTAATATCAATGTTACGAGCGCCGCTGATACGTCGCACGTTGCACGGGCTTGAAAGAAACAGAACCACGGGCACGGTTACGAGCATGAAATACGAAGCAATAAATACTCGCAATTATAATGGAGCAACGATTTAAAGAGATTCGAACACGGAATATAAATACTTATTGGACGATCGCGAATGAAATCGCGAAGTCGAGCGCGGCTGAAATTCGTGTGAACGACGGCTATCGATGGAAAGCGTCTTCCGGTCAAAGTGCACCCTCGAAGCACGCTTTATTAACGGAACAGCGCGCGTACCTCGCATTAAAAAAAATCTCGCTCTCCGTGCATTATTACAGCGCGTTGGTACCGCGATCACGATGCCGGCAGAAATACGGGTTTATTGCTCAATCTGTTGGTCGTTCTACTTTGAGATTACTCCGATGGAATCATTTCGCATAAACGACACGGCGTTAAACAGTTTTTAACGTCGATAAAAGTGTTTGTCGACGCGCCGGGTCCGACCCGAGACAGAGTAGCCAGTTAATCAAGAACGTTCCGCGGAATATTCATTGCCGGCCGTGCTCTTTAATAACGTGCACGTAACATCATTCGTGCACCGGGATTTTACACGCGGAGATCACACTGTTCTGTTCGCGAAGAACCTTTAATGACTCGGGGCCTCGTGCGTTGATTACAACCTACGGCCGGTAAACTCGCGCGAAACGCTATCTTTCCTTCCTCTCCCGCGGCACGCTCGTTTGTCCGAGCCGATTTTAATATTCGACGTCCCGAAAACCGCGAGCTAAAATCCGTGCGGTATCGCGCGATATTCGCGGCATCCTGTCGGATGATCGCGTTAATAGAAAAAACGACGATCGACTCGTTCTTTGCCTGGCATTCCGGTGCAGTTCTCGCAGGAATCTCGGAAATCGGGATCGGCAAAATAATTATCGTGAAACGAAATCTCTGCTTCGACGAAGCAGAGCGAAGGGTTAACACGTCGAATGCCACGCCGGTTTTACAGGAATTGTCCGTGGCGTCGCGATGAGTTTTCTTTTATGCGATACGTATAACGTTGAAATATTATCTGCAATAGATAACAGTTACAGTCTATAACCATGTTTGTCATGTTAATTGCGACAGGGGTCACTGTTTGAATCGACGATGGTAATAATACCAAATTTTACATATTCACATTTGTTTTAAATTATATTTAAAAAAGATAAATTATATTTCTATCAATTTGGGCGCGCCGGTCACCGGTGGCCCCCATGGCGTCACCGCCAAGTTAAGTGCCGGTCACCGGTGACCCCTGTGGCATTCAACGTGTTAACCCTTTGCCCTACGACCACGTGTGAGAGACGTGGTCAGAAAATTAACAGCAAGAGTTCTTTATTTTCTTTTGTCATTCTAAGCGATAGCAACCTTCGAATAAAAACATTCTAGTTATGATCCAGTAGACTGATCGCTCTAACATAAAAAAAGAATTCAAGTCGTTTAGTCCAGTTCTAAAAAGGTTGTCGCCTTTCGAAGAGTGTGTCGCCTTTCCCGGTGTTTCTCCCGCAAACCCGAGTACCCAATTTACAAATGCTGGTCGGCGATATCAGCTGTGAACTTCAATTAAATCGACGGTCGAACGGTCTCCGCATGCCGGTACGTTAACTGCTGGAAGCAGGCTCGAGCGGTCGTTGTAGAAATAGAAAACGCTCTCTGTATGCTCTCGATCGTAATCGCATCGGGTAAATATCGGTGCAACGAGAGCTCGTTATAGTTCAAGGTACGGAAGCCCGGTTATCCTCTTATTCGAAGGAAACTCATTCCTGTGTTCGTCGCGTCGCAATTAAGATAACAGGAAATTTGTCGAACCCTAACGAATATTGAAATTCCTGAAAGAAGATCGCGCGCGCGTTCCGCCGACCCGGCCGAACAACGCGACGTAATCCAGTTCTAGTCCTCGTCGAGAAAATATCGATTCGTTGCTGATTTAGCGGACGCGATCCACCGCCACCGTGCTGAATACCGAGGGTAGAAAAGTTGCTTCGTCGCAAATGAATTACCTATAAATTCTGTTACTACCATCGGGCCCATTCCGTTCGGCGGTCTAATTAACTGTCGCGCAACATACTGGTTCTCAAACTCGTTCCGTGCGTTATTTAGAATCCTCGTTGCTCGATGACATTTAGGCGGCGGATAATCTCGAGGATATTCAACCGCGGCGGCCGTGCCGTGCCGTTCTGCTCGTCAATTTTCTTTTCCCCCCGCGTGCACGTGTCCGGAACAATTTTCTAATAACAATTTTCCGTCCCGTCGATGGACTCGCGTTCGCGTCTCGAACAAATTCGCGGAAGCGATATCCTCGTGCAGGATCCGATTATCCGTTGTGTCGCATAAATTCCGTGGTTCGTTAGCTTGTTTCGACGAGATACCGTTTATCTCTTAATTGCAATTTCCTTGTCGTCCGCGCGCCCCACTTGGATTTCTCGAAACGGAAAGCTGTTGCGCGCTGAACTAGTTCTCCGCTCGTCCGTACTAATGAAAATAATATCTTGCCGAGATATCGTGCGAAGATAGATAAGGCAAGATGCCGCGGAACGGCACGGAATTTCGGTTCTGCGTCGTCGTCGTCGTTTGAATTGCGATCGGGAACTCGCGCGAACAGAAAAATTGCGGCGGTTTCTAAAAAGCTGCCGAATCGTGTGGCGTGTGCGAACGGCGACTCGCATGGTTTTTTCCTGGTTTGCGAGAGCAATTTAATTCGAATAATCGATCGACGAAATCGTGTCTTGTCTCGAAATTTGACGACTCGCTGCGTAACCGGGAACTCCCAAAAGTCGAAAAGCGAAGCGACCGATCGGACATTTCGAAACATCCACTTGCTTCTAGCGAGCAATTGACAGAGTTCGCGGAGTGCAGCGAAAGTGTGGGAACCTACTCTCGAACGCACCAGGTGTATAGGTACACATCGGACACATGCGAATAATGTATGCCCGCCGCGCCGCGCCGGTGCGTGATTCATGCATAAATTTGTCTTTGGTTGTCGCATAGTGACACGGTCTCCGCTAGAAAATCATTTTATATTTCAGAACTTTACGCTGAAATTCCGTAGGTGAAAACGGCGGAGAGATTAGCATAATTTCGAACGATTAAAGGAACGAGTCGATTTCGATTTGCTTCTAATTTCTCGCGAAAATAATGCGACTTTTGTTGTTTTACCCCCCACCGACGAGATATAAAGATACTCTTCCGTAATGAGATCGAAACGATTTTACGGTCATAGAATACGAGACGTTCCCGCGATCGTTAGTTTGGTAGCAGCGGGCAATGCTGCTTTGTTTCGTCCAACCCTTCTCTAGATTTGCCGTAACGGAGCAGAAACCGCAACAACAATCTGCTCGCAATTGTTTCAAGCACACGGAAGGGAATTGTTTCAAAAATATTCTTCGGGGCCCGATCATCGATGCCGCGCACAATTTGTGGTCGATCGAAATGATCGGCCTTGTTGCCAGAGATACACGAACGCCGGTCGAACGCGCCATCATTTACCACATTCCTACAGCGTGTGGAAGAAAATAATCTGATCGGTTTCGGACGACAGTTACCGCTTAATAAGAACGCGAAACTCTCGGAACGATTCCGTTTTCTGAATTAAGGAGAGATTACAATTAAACCGACAACTTTACCGCGGTATTTTGCGCGCGAAAGGCCCGTCATTTTTGGAAAAGTCGCATGCGAACGGCGTTCGTTGTTTTATTTAAAAAAAATCGAATAAAAAAACAGCATGGGTATAACTTGCATTCAATTTATGTTCCCGTTGGTTGCAAGCAGCGATCAAGGGCCACGTTTATTTGCCCTTCGTTTTATTATGGACGCATCGAATTTCCGATCGAACGTCGAAGGACCAACAACGAGCGTAGTAAAGTCATCGAGTGAAAAAAGCTGATCATTAATTCGCGAGTCACGTTGCTGATTCGTTCTCGTATAGCTGCGCCCGCCAATCTGTAGCCCGCATCTGTAATCACCTTCGGCCAATCTATGGCTCTGATCTGCATCGGGCAGAGCATCTTCTGTTGGCCGCATAGAGTTGTCTCTGTGCACGTCTCTATCATAAATTATCGTTTCGATCGGTGCTCCGCTTTTCGAACGAACCGCTGCATCACAATGAAAACTCGTTTTGTTTCCAAGCACTTTGATTTTCCATTACGATATACACTTGCGACCGAAACCGCAGGTTCGCGTCGAGAAGCTGAACGGCGAGAAATGCATTTTCAACGAACATTTCCGAGGGTCCTGACACGTTTTTAGGCACGAAGATCTAACGAAAGTGAAAGAGAGAAAAGAAAAATGGAACGAACGGACACCTTTTAATTTAATTCCCTCGTTTTAGATCGTTCGGAAGATGCTTCTATCTGTTATCGCTGAACGAACACGCTTCGAGAAAAATCTCGAAGGCTTGCGAAGCATATTGCAGCTATATATGTACATACGTACGCGTATGGACTTTCCGTTTCGAGGAGAGACGTGACGAAGATCCAGATTTAGTTAGAAGAAATTAAACGAAGCGAAGAAATACTCGAGGGTTACATGCAAATCATTGTAGAAGTCGTAACCGAGTTCCCCGCTCGGGATCGCTATTAAAACCCGACTGAAACGACCCGTTGCACCTTGTACGTGCGCCTCGCAGAATCCTGCACGTCCTCTCTTAATGATTCGATGGCGGATCGTTATTCTTAATGACGCGCGTTTAAGATATCGTTTGTAAACATCGCGCAGCCTGTGCGGTAAAATCGAGAAGGTCCTTGGAAATATGGGGCGCTCCCGAGCAAACGAAAAACTGTCTAAACATCGTCGAACACCGAAATCACTATGAAGAAACTATTGTTAATCCTTGACAAACGAATCGAAGCGAACGAGGAAACGTTGTTTTCGGCGGTCCACCGCAACGGATGCATCGATTGGAAAGCGTTAATGGTCGACGATGGTGCTAACAACGCGATCGTTGAACAATAATATGTGATTTACTCTGGACAGCACGGACGCCCGATGTTACGTGCGGAGTCGTAAAAATGTGCATCGTCGATTAAAGCGTAACGAGACAGCAGCCGGACAAGGGAAAAAAGAAATTACTTAACAACGCCTTCGATTACGCGGGGTGCGCGCGCGATAGGGCGCTCGAGAAACAAAAGCAACCGTTTCCTCGCGTTATACGTATCTTTCGCGTGGTTGCAGAAACAGTGACTCACAATACAAATTGCCGTGTACGATCGTTACACACCGGATTTGCTTTGTAGATTTTACGAGTAAGTATGACAAATAGCGTTGGAAAGAATGGAATCTCGGGAGAATATTTGCTAAACATTCTTTTTTATCAAGCCGAGTCGTAAATAATTTCCGTATTTAGGAACAAATGGAAAGGACGCATTCGTCATCGTAATGACTCGTCATAACCGAGCCGCTTGATAAATAGCAACGGGTCCGCGTAAATAATGGCGCGCGTGTAATTGATTAATGGACTGCGGATTTTAACGCTGAATCTCTAAATTTTCTACCTCGATCGCGACGAACACGCGTGAAATCGACATTTTTTTAATCGATACGCCAACGACGAGTTTCGACGGAAAACCGGATTCCCTAAAGGATAATTCGATAAAAAAAAACTCGGAGCGTTCGATGATATTCGATCGAAAGAGAATTCCACGTGACGCTACGCGAGAAAACTGGAAACGGCGAAACAGGTCCGCGGAATTGGATATGATTTGGCTGCAGGTGGTACTCGTAGCTGTGTTCTCGATCTCGTAGGTCGTAGATCGCAGGCAAAACCCGGCAGGCCTGCGGGTGGTATTACCCGGTTGTGTGTGTACCATAATAGTGCCCAGCGGGTCTGCCTCCATCTTGCAGGAGACCTCGCATCTAGCTGCCTAATTACCTGCTATCATCGAGGGAAAATTGGCGAAGTGACAGCGCGCAGGTGAAATAGACAAAGAGAGACGGAATATGATTCGAGAAGGGGGGGGAGGGATGACAGAGGAGCTGAAAGGGAACAAAACGGACCCGCGTACCGCAGCGAAGACGCGTATGCCGTTTCATTATCGTAAATTAGTTTGTCCCTTCGACGCTGGGGAACGATCTTTCAATTGGCACGCGTGAAATAATCTTCGCGTTTATTCTAGCCGATCGTCTCTCGAAATTGCAGCAGAACATTGAATACGCGAAGAATGCCGGCGATCGTTTAAATTGCCATGGATTTCTCAGCGAGACAACAATTTTCTGCGTCGAAGAAACGGATGACAAATGTTGGACAACGTTTGTTGGTCTCTGCTCTGGACAACAGTACTGTTCGGGATGTTGGGACACGTTTCTATTTCGAGAATTAAATTGAATCGTAAGAAATCGAGAGTCGTTCAACCCGTAATCGACTCTTTGGACGAAAACGTACGAACCGCATGTACTCGAGATCGAAATCAATATTTACGCGCTATTCCTTCGAAATCCTTTTCTCGAAGAGTCGAGCCGGTCGACTCGAACAATAAACAATAGCATGGACGGACACCTCGCATAATGAAGTTTTTCGGTGCCGAAGCTAGAACGCTTCGCCGTGTTCCGTTAAGTGGTGGACAGACCGCAAAAAATATTCATACATTTCCATAGATCGGTTACGCAATTCCGTTCCTACACCACGGACGTTTTATTTCTTTTTCAGGAGAAGCCATTCACCTTGCCAGAGACTTCGGCTACGTTTGCGAAACCGAATTCCCTGCGAAACAAGTTGCCGAATACCTCAGCCGGCAGCATTGCGAGCCACAAGATTCCTACAGGAGAAAAGAACTTCTTCATGCCACCAAGTAAGAATTTATTTCCCAGCCGCCAACAATGGTGCACGAGATTTTTATCGGGATAAAATCGCGATTTCGTTGCTCGATACGCGACCATGCTCGTTCTTGAACTTAAGAGCGCGGACGTTCGTGATCTTCCGATGTTCGAAGTCTTCCTTGCGGAGAGAGAGAGAGAGAGAGAGAGAGAGAGAGAGAAAGCGTCTCTGGAAAGTGTCTGACTTTGTCGCGTGGTTTCAGACAAATCACCAAAGAGCTGATGGATCTTCTGAACCAGGATAGATCACCGCTTTGCAACACACGGCCTCAGCATATACTCGACCCAAGCATACAGAGACACCTAACGCATTTCTCTCTCATATCACATGGATTCGGAAGTCCTGCAATCGTAGCCGCTCTGACGGCAATACAGGTACGACCGTTTAATTGCGTTTTTCTATATTTAATTACCCTGAAAGCAGATTCCGAAATCGCATCCAATTACATCTCGGCTTAGAAACGTTGGAAAATTGCCGCTTCGATTTCATATCGGTTCTCGAACGAACGTAGTAACATCTGTATCTGGACCATAGAAAACTCGTTCTCGTTAAATAAAACTAACAATATTTTCTTATCTAGCAAAATCTACTACAGAATACTCTCTTCCAGTACCGGATCTTTATCGCGTTCGAACGCAAACACGATCGCGTTTGCATCGTTCAATTCGTACCGAAACTAACACGTATACATACAGTGCGGAGACTCCCTTATCCGAACGTTTGTTCGCGTAACATCTCGATGCCACGACGATCAACGGACCTAACAAAAACTAAATGCTCCGGTGTCGCGTTGCAGAAGTTCCTAAGCGAGTCCCTGAACCATCTGGAAAAGATGTACCCGGGCAACGGCAGCGGCGTGACAAGTAGTCAGCAGTCGAGCCTCGACACGAACAAGAGCAAGGACGGCACGTTGATGAACGACATGAAGAAGTGACGCCCGGAGGACCCGCCTACCTCGAACGTGGTCACTTCGATCAGGCACTCGTGGCCGTACAACTGAGCTTCCGCGGGCCTAAGCCCGTCGCGAACAGCTTCCTGGTGGACCACTGATACACGCCACGTATGTCCGCGATACCGCGCGACCGCTTGTATTATAGTGAAACCGAGTGTATGGTCGCGCACGAAAGCCCGAACGGCGCAGGTGACGCGACGAAACCACGATTGCGGGCAGACGTGTTCCGCGAAGAGGTTGGCTGGTCGAAAGTGTTCTAGGTAAATCAATGAAAAACGAGGTCGCGAGAAATATGTGCAATCGCCGAAACGAAGTTCCGCGCGTCGATCGCCGATCGGGCCGTGGTCGTGTCGACGTCGAGACGGGCCCGGCGCGAGACCGCGAGTCGGGCACCCAAGGTGTCTCGATTCCCGTTTCGGGCTCGTTCGGCGAGGCCGGGGTCGCAGGATATTTATTCGTTCGCGAATCCGCGGGACGATCGGTGCGCGACGCGCGGGAAATCGCGCGGATTCCGACGAGCCGACGCACTCGTCGTCCGTCGACACAGAGGTAACTTTGTTCTTTCACTGCCTGTTCATACGGAGCGCGACCCTGCCGATCAAGAGGGTCACGATGCCACGCGATATCGATCGATTCGGGATCGTCCCGTTCCGACCAACTCGCGCGAGCAAGAGCGCGAGCAAGAGCGAGTCGTCTTTGGCCGTTTGGCGCCGTAATCGTCGTAGCTTCTCGAACGCAGGCTCTAGGATCGTTCGCGATAGGAGTAGCGATAGTCGAAACGTTTCTGCAACGGCTGCGGCGAACGCTTTTATTCTCTCGCCCCTGTGTCCCGAGGATCTTGCTGTTTCACCGTAGATAGAGCACCGCAAACGAGAGACGCTTAGAATCGGTTCGTTGGAGCTTCGTCTTACACGTTGAAATCGTACGGAAAAAGCGGTTGCACCGTCGAGTCGCGCTGATTGCAGGTCCTCGTTGCTTGCGAATCGATCGATAATTGGAGAACCCGACATATACATATAAATATATAAATAAATATACATTTATATGTATATACGCGAGCGCAGTACGACGAATAAGAAACCATTCGCAACAACCTTGTTCCACGGTATAATTTTTGGGTCGACTATTTATATTGCTCAAGCATCGTTATTCTTTGCCCATTAACGAGCGTCCGACGTACACGCGCGGTATCGGTTATGATGCCGTTACGTAAGCATTAATATTGTCAGCATAGTGATACATTGCTCTCTGTACACGGTGTACAACTTATAATTTAGCGACTACAAATCTAAAACCGCCCGCGAGCGAGCGTTCGACGAACAATTTTTATCGTCCCGGCTGAGTCCACCATGTAGAACGACTCTCTCGGCCCTCAATTACGTGGAAACGTTCAGTATGCAACGACTACTGAATATTCATGCCGATCGCAGCCTTTGAAGTTACAGATTTCCTTGTAAACACGTTCGAGCACGCGTTCGGTGCAACTGTTTCGGCGTGTTTCTCGATTTTCTTAATCACCGTTAGAAATCCGCCGTACCCTTGCACGAGAAAACGGGTTCAAAGTAGCAATTAACGAATTATTTCACTTCTCGAATATAGTTGCAGAGACGCTACGGTCAACGATCGATCGGAAACGCGATTACAGAATGCCGAGCGCAATCGATACGCTGCGAGTAGGTGCAAATTTCAAATTTCACGGACAAATTTTAACGAATCCGACGTCTAATACGATCGAACAAATACTAAATTCGTCTTGTTGTTATTTTTTATTTTCGATTTTATTCGACGCTTTTTAAAGACGCGAAATAAACGTTTTCTTAAACAAAACATGCACAAGTTTGAACAGAATTTTTCTGAAAACGAAAGACAACTCATTTTTCGATCTCCGGTTTCACCAGAACCATACCTAAACTCTGTTCTTTACGGATGCATCGATACGAATTGTTTCAAACGAAAGGAAACTGTGAAAATAATGTGAACATTGGAAAGTAATTCCTGTCTCCATTCGATGAATTTTTCTGGAACACCTTCGACTGACGCTTGCACGTTCTATTTTTTCTCTGTAGGCGTTAATGCGATTCGAACGAGACTATAGTTAAGTTAAAATCGAATGGTCGGCCGAGGTCGCTTCCCCCGCTACGCGTTTGTTGGGCCGATATCGCTGGAAACGGTGGATAAATAGGGGCGGGGCGACAAGGTGGCAGAGCGGGGATAATTCGAACGACTTGTTTCGGCGACCAATTGCTTTCCACGCGGCTATAGCAATTAATACTGTGTATTTACTAGATATTGTGGACTCAGTCGTGACATTTTTTACTACCACCGTTTGCTTTCCACGCGTCGCTCATCTTTCCCCCGAGACAATTCGCAGGAATTTAACGATGCAATCGAGAATGGACCTTCACCGTCTTAACGCGAGGCTAACAAATGTCACGATGAACGAGGAACATTCGAAGTTAGACATTAACCGCGGCGACAACGTACAATGGCCGTCCGAGGCTAACAATGATTAATTTAGAATTATCTGATCGTTTCAGCGACAACGTTCCGTTCGAATCAAAATACAGTAGATTCTCCCTAATTCTCAATTAGCTTGTAAACAAAAAATGGACAATTTGGGAAGAGGAGATGCGATTACTCGAGCCTGGCGGCTCGTTTTTATAGTTGCCGATCGTCAACAATTATAAAAGGCACAAGGCCAAATTGTCCAATTTTGTCTAACAAGCTCGAGGGAAATTAGGGAGACTTTACTGTACCTGGACACGAATAGCCGAATTATTCGTACAGTTTCTTGACGAACGATGCTATCGGTTCTCATCATTTTGTACAGTCGATTAGAGGTAAAATGCCGCAAAGCGCGGCATTCTATGTACGTGTTAAGAAACGTTCCAGTCTAAGGACAAATTTTCGTATTCACGACGCCGCCACATAATAAAGCATTATATTCGCTCGTTGAACAGTTGTTTAACGCTTCGATTTCTCTGTAGAAGAAACACTTGTGTCCCTGTGTTACCTGCCACTCGTAGGACGTTTCTTTCTCGCGAATGGCCAAAAATTGAAAACCGTGGACGTTCAGTTGAAACAATCGTCGCCTTTCGAATCACCGTTTGAAGGTACATGTCCCGAACCGGAAATTTCACTGCAACCCGTCGAATAACTCCCACTTCGAACCGTATTCTTCTACACGCGTAGCACGTTCGTTAAACTCACTGTTATCTAACTCGTCTCTTCTAATGTTATTCAATGCTTTATTATACGTTCCATCTGCCGTGTATCGTCATCGAGTAGCAGCTCAAGTAGTCTATCCCTTCTAGATATTTATTCTGCAGTTCGAGAGAACCGTCGAGCGAAGCGTCGTCCTTAAAAAAAAAGAAATCGGTGCACGCGTTTTTCCGAAATCGGCTGTTTGTCTCCAACTCGAGGCGCGAACGCGCGTGTATTGTAAAGAAGAACGAGTTCCATCGTCGACACCGTTACGTTAACACTTCTACGTTGCAACGATCACCGACACCCGTCGGACCCGAAGCCGACCGCGACGATCGAAGACGATCGATCGCAGACTCCGCTCGCGCGTTTCGCCGTTTGCCGAAACGCGTCCCCGACAATTTTCGTTGCCGTGGGCGGAAACGGGAACGGAAACGGTGTGCGAGGAAGGCTCTGGGGAGTCGGGGAATCGGTTCCGAAGATCACTCATCGTGCCAATGCGAAAGTTGCCATTTCAGATGTGCCAATTAAACGATATCGAGTTAGAAACGTAAGAGCGCGCGACCGGAAGCGTGCGGGGCAAACACGGGCGAAAGACCGAGACGACGCGGCGGTCGCGTTTAGGGTGTTCGAGGACACGCGACGAGGGAATCGGCCGAGAAAAATGTGAATTCGTCTGGACCGAAACGCGTGCCGCATGCTCGCTCTACTTAATGGCGGGAACAGAAGAGAAGAGAGGAGAGGAGAGGAGAGGAGAGGAGAGGAGAAGAGTAGAGAAGAGAAGCGGAGAGAGGAGATGCCGGGAAAAGTAGAGCGGAGACACGAGAAATTGCGTCGAAGTACAATACCAGGTGAACCTGAGACATATCTAACTTTGTAATTAAATCTTAGGCGTATGTAAATGTAAGATTAAGAAACCTGATCAAACGTCTCGCGTTCCGGGATTATTATGTACAGAGTATTTGAATCTTTCTTGTGATATAATCGTACATATTAACTAAGAGGTATACAACCGATAACAAGGCAAAAAAAAAAATTACTATTATCATTCCATGTTTTTTCATAGAGGTGAGGTATTAGCGTGGTCGTGACGAGCGCCGGATACCGCTCCGTTTTAATTAGACGTGTAATGTACATTCCGACAAGTTCAAAGCCGCCAGTCAGATCCCAATTCTGTCGACAGATTTTACTTTTACGAACGAACGTTTCGGTTCTTTTCTTTTCTTTCCTTTCGTTTGCTCGTTGATATCCGCGAAGAAAACGGTAAAACAAGAAAAAAATGGTATATACATACATATATACGAATACAGAAATGACATTTCGTCGAGAGTCTCAGACCAACGTTTTTTCCGGATCAGTTAGGGGAGATGAAGAGAGACAGAAGAGAATATCTATTATTACACCATTATTTTCACTCACGACTACATAGGCGAACTCGTTAGACTAAGGTTCCGTAAATTAATACTTATTTATAATCCTTAGAGCGGCCGTAGAAAAGACGTTTTTCTACCAGAATTTCTGTGCCAACTGCAAAGAATGTTGTAGACAATTTTTTTTGTTCCACGTTGAAGCATCATTCTAATCTTGTAAGATACTCAGATATATCTTTATTAAATATATTTGAATTTCGTAGTATATTATATTCTGATATTGATTATACATTTCATTTTTGTATATTGGTGTGTGATAAATAAATAAGAATATTGTTTCTAAGTAATTTATATACTTATGCTCGGAACCGGGCGCCATTGTGTTCGCGACGGCTGTTTAGATGCTCGAATCCCAACACTTTACGATCCAGTATCCTGTCGATCTCGCTAGATCAAAATATGCTTAAGGACGATAGAAAAAAGATTAAATATATAAACTTGAACCGCTTAAAATTTTAATATCTCCACGAGACAGTAAACTAAAGAATTTTTTCGGGTAACGACGATGAACGACGCAGTAGTACAACCAGTCTATGGTCGGACAATAACAGTGAAGTTTTTATAAAATCATTTCACCAACGATAAGCATAGTCCTCGCACTGCAAGAAGGCACCTTTGCGTTTATATTCCACCTCTTACCAGCTGCGGCAGTGGGGCAACTTGTGTGGCCCAGAGTTAAATTTTACATAGAATTTTCTGCTCTGTACTACTGATTACTATTTTTAATAACGAAATAAGATACTGCACATTTCAATTATCTAGGGATTGAATCAGAGGCTAAAGTGTTGAAGGGTTAATTAAAGGATCAGAGTATCGTGAAAGAAATATCTAACAAAAAAATGACACCACAAATGAGTCTTAGAAAATAATAACAGGTCGTACCGTTGATTTGCATATTTCATTTATTTATTTTCCATCAATGTGTTCCACCACAGGCCTTGACACACGCATTCGTACACGCACTAAGTACAAACTGTACATTAAACGAGGTTTCATGTTAATACTAATAAAAATTGTTAAAGGTAAAAAACGAAATTACTGTTTTTGGAGAACAGGCCTTAGGCTGGTTAAAAAACAGAGGTCGGGACATTTTTTTCGAAATATATTCAAAGTGTGAATTGACCAGAGTGAATCGCAGCGAAATGGAACGAGTTTAGAGCAAATTGAAGCAAGATCGAAGCGAAATGAAGCACGTTAAAGTGCGCAGATATTATCAAAAATTTAGTTTTGTTACGATCAACGGTCTGGTACATGTTGCCGTGCAGTTATCGATGAACACAAATTTATCGTGACACGATTCAACGTTATATTCTATTCTGAAAGAAAAGGCTCACAATTCTATAAATTTGTACACAGGACTAACAGGGAAAGCAGAGTTAAAAGAGTGTTCACACATGCGGGAAAGTTCTTCTTCGACAAGCGTTGAGTAGTTTCTGGTTATTCCTCATTTTTTAACAGCCAATTTTAAATTGAAATCATCGATTAGCACTGTGTCGATAGACAAAACTTGTAAGCTCATTAAATGCAGCCAAGGCAATGCACAAAGCTGAAATCCATTATTATATCTATAGTGATAGCGTAAGTAATGACGTCGCTTAAGAATAAATTTGAATCTTATTCGAGAAGAAACAGTTTGCTGACGTTTTAACGTGAATCGACGCTAAAATTAGTTCAAAAGGTAATCGTAGTGTGCGTTTGAAACGATTAAAGAACGTAGAAAAGTTGAAATGAAATTTCCAACAGTGCGAAAGGATTAGAAAAATGTCTTGAAAAGGAACAGTCTTCTGTGAAAGTGGATCGATTGGATTATTATGGCATACTCACGTGATCCTAAGACACTTCAATCCCCGCTGAGCAGAGAAACAGAAGAAGATTAAAATATTTCAATCCATGTGAAAATGCGTTCCCACGCTATTTTCCATATGCTTCTACACACCTAAGAAGGATACACGAAAAAAACATGTTAGAAGTAACTATCTTAATTGCGTTTAATAGAACTTGAATAAAAATCGAAGTTTAAGATGCGTACAACCGAAAACCAAAACCTTTGATATCGTCAAAAATTTGAACAGCGAATAATATCAGCTTTAACGTAAATCATACCGTTTACATTTTTCAACGACATTCGTTGCCCGACATTTAATCTCGATATTTAACACGTTAAACGCCACGTTGGTCCCCAGGGACCGATGTTAAGACTTTCCGTTCAGGCCCGGCCACTGACTTTAGGTTCATATTAAAGATTTTGCTTAGGCTATATTAGTTTTTGTTCGGAAAAGGCTTTAGAAAAAGAATGTAATATTTTTTAAAAAAGTTAATGCAATATATTGAAACAAGCTAAACAAAAGTGTGGTTTGTTTTTAAATTCGTTACAAAAGGTGCCAACTTTTAGCGTTAAATTCTTTGGACCCTAACATTTGGGAATTTCTGTTAGAACATTTGACACGAATTTTATGAACACTGCCTTCCTTTTTTACAAAATAATGCCGAGGTTTTGTTCTGCTGTCTTTTTGCAAGTCTGGGCCTGAACGGAACGGCAAAGCAAAACGTGCTGGGCACTTAACGTGTTTTAATCGACGCTTGAATTAAAAAAGAAGATTAAAAACATTAGAATCGGATGCTCTCGTTGTAATTAGGCGGATCAGTTTAAAACGTCGACAATGTCATAGATCGTGGGAAATATTATATGTCGCTCGTTGTGTCTGGATATATTTATTTATATTTTCGCAGATTATAATAGCGTTGATTAATGAGGATTTTAATTGAAGTTTTTTCAAACGATGCTTACAATAGAGCCATTATTCTTTTCATTTATTTCAATTTACGAGAATTACATATGTAAGAAAGAAGAAACAGGTGGTTACTTTAAAATATTTACGCACAAGTTATTTTTATGGTCTTTTTGTATACTCAATATTGAATGGTTACAGGTTAAGGTTACATTATTTTTATAGTGTCGATAAGAACTATACCTTCGAGACAAACTACACAAATCGTCGCTTCATATTTTTTTTTTCATTTTTGCGCACGTTGTTGCGCACTTAGGTGTCCGTTAACATTGATTTAATGGTTTTGTTTAAAACGTTTCTAAATCGCTTTATCACGTTCGTTTTACGTTTGCCACGTAAACATAATACACATTTTCATACGGGTTACGATACAATTTGCACAGAATCGTATGCAACGGTGTTTAATATTCATTTATCTATTCACTTGCCACTGGATATCATTTACAATATTTACTTTCTTCCATTTTTTCTTTTTTTTTTAAACTCGTATTGCTAGACTCATCGTAATTCATTAAAAACACAAATGACTGTCCGAGCTATATGTATTCCTCTCGACCTGTTCGATGAAACGAAAACGTAAAATTTCAAAGAACGTCCATCGATATTCGGATCACCAAAATAATTACACGTTTGCCGATCGAACTAAAAACTATGCGATTACAAGAAAATGAAATATTGCATCAAGTGGGGGAAAAAACGCCAAAAAAAAGTCAAATCGACACAGCTCTGACTTTCTTTTTGCGTTACGACACAGGCCTACTCGACAATTTTACTTGTTTTCTTTCCATTTTGATCTTCTTGGTCGTCGATCCTTCCGCTTTTTCACGTATTACATTATTTTTGTTCAGGACGGGATTTCAAGGAGCGGGTTACTTTCTTCTAATACATCGGTTTTCGTTTTCTTTTCATTTTTTTTGTTTTTAGTTTTCTCGTTTTGTCACAGAAAATCGATCAGAGATCGACGAGATCGATGAACGCAACGACACAAATTCAGATTCCGATCTGGAGTCGAATTAGCACGTGATTCGTACGCGGGCAAAACGGCACTAAAACGCTCCGTGACATTTGTCATTACAGTTTTCATTGTATTACGTGTTCCGGCTTTATCCAGCGGCCACAATAAACTCATCTGAAAAGCATGTCGGCTTCGTTACACATAACTAGGAGTTTAGAGAATAGAATACACAGAAAACAAAGAAAGTAGAGGCAGATCTTTCTCAGCGAATCAAGGATGATGCATCGGGCGTTGAAAACGATGTTCGAAACTTGCGGAGTCGGATAAACGTCGGTAACATGAAAGACTTACTTCTGAAAGCTCGTTAAAAGTTAGAAAAGTTTGTCCTTTTTTTTAATGAAACGATAATAAACCCGATACGCAATTGTATTTACGTAGTTGCTTCTAAAAATCTTTAAATCTTCCGAAACCTTAAAACTTTTTTCAAAAAAATCTAAATCGACAGTTTGAACAAACATATCTAATTGGACTCGCGCTCGGTGAAACATTCAGCTATTCGATTCGTTTTTTAGAAACGAGTATACACGAATACGATGTTCCGTATTATGCGCATTTGCACAGTCTTCGTTAAATTCAATGAAAACTGTTTAGCGACAGGAGATTACAAACATATTTTACACCTAACATTTATCCGAAACTAACGTTTCTCTGAACACTGTTTGCACGATTTAATCGGCGCCACGCCCCGCAAGACCTCGATCGCATTTTAACGCCGCTATGATCGGAGAGAACGAAAAAAAAAATACTGGCGACAAAAAACGATAAAATTTAGCAACGAAAAAGTAGTCGGATTTGATACGTTTACTCATTAGACTGGCCGCAATACGATGAAAAGTTGTAATAATTGCCTGCGCGTCGTTTACCGTGAGTGTGTGTGTGTGTTAGTCTCTTCCGTGCCTCCGTTCGTTTTAGAAACGGTCTCGGTCATTTAAAGGTTTTGGCATCGCAGGCACCATAGGTCGTCGTGCGTTAGGAAGATTACACGTCAACGGTTTAGGGCTATGAAATTATAATAAAGTCAGAGAAAAGAAACCAACTCTACCTCTCGTTAGGCGTCGCGGATTATCGTAGATAAAGAAGAGACTGAGAGAGAAAAGAAAACTAAAGTAAACAAAGAGAAAGAGAGAGAGAGAGAGAGAGAGAGAGAGAGAGAGAAAGGCAGAGAGAAATAGGCTAATGTTAAAAGATCAAAGNGTTTTGTCACAGAAAATCGATCAGAGATCGACGAGATCGATGAACGCAACGACACAAATTCAGATTCCGATCTGGAGTCGAATTAGCACGTGATTCGTACGCGGGCAAAACGGCACTAAAACGCTCCGTGACATTTGTCATTACAGTTTTCATTGTATTACGTGTTCCGGCTTTATCCAGCGGCCACAATAAACTCATCTGAAAAGCATGTCGGCTTCGTTACACATAACTAGGAGTTTAGAGAATAGAATACACAGAAAACAAAGAAAGTAGAGGCAGATCTTTCTCAGCGAATCAAGGATGATGCATCGGGCGTTGAAAACGATGTTCGAAACTTGCGGAGTCGGATAAACGTCGGTAACATGAAAGACTTACTTCTGAAAGCTCGTTAAAAGTTAGAAAAGTTTGTCCTTTTTTTTAATGAAACGATAATAAACCCGATACGCAATTGTATTTACGTAGTTGCTTCTAAAAATCTTTAAATCTTCCGAAACCTTAAAACTTTTTTCAAAAAAATCTAAATCGACAGTTTGAACAAACATATCTAATTGGACTCGCGCTCGGTGAAACATTCAGCTATTCGATTCGTTTTTTAGAAACGAGTATACACGAATACGATGTTCCGTATTATGCGCATTTGCACAGTCTTCGTTAAATTCAATGAAAACTGTTTAGCGACAGGAGATTACAAACATATTTTACACCTAACATTTATCCGAAACTAACGTTTCTCTGAACACTGTTTGCACGATTTAATCGGCGCCACGCCCCGCAAGACCTCGATCGCATTTTAACGCCGCTATGATCGGAGAGAACGAAAAAAAAAATACTGGCGACAAAAAACGATAAAATTTAGCAACGAAAAAGTAGTCGGATTTGATACGTTTACTCATTAGACTGGCCGCAATACGATGAAAAGTTGTAATAATTGCCTGCGCGTCGTTTACCGTGAGTGTGTGTGTGTGTTAGTCTCTTCCGTGCCTCCGTTCGTTTTAGAAACGGTCTCGGTCATTTAAAGGTTTTGGCATCGCAGGCACCATAGGTCGTCGTGCGTTAGGAAGATTACACGTCAACGGTTTAGGGCTATGAAATTATAATAAAGTCAGAGAAAAGAAACCAACTCTACCTCTCGTTAGGCGTCGCGGATTATCGTAGATAAAGAAGAGACTGAGAGAGAAAAGAAAACTAAAGTAAACAAAGAGAAAGAGAGAGAGAGAGAGAGAGAGAGAGAGAGAGAGAAAGGCAGAGAGAAATAGGCTAATGTTAAAAGATCAAAGATTAAAGAGATATCAATTTATAGAGGATGATTGTTTGTGGATTTTTACTTGGAAGGTCGTGAATACGGAGCGTTGCGGTAGCGCGAACTTGAGCCCGATGTCGTTGTCGTCTTGTACGATTTCCATGCGCGGCTCGATGATTCCTCTGCGAATTTCATTCAGTGATTTATTTTGCATCAACCTACAACGATNGAGAGAGAGAGAGAGAGAGAGAGAGAGAGAGAGAAAGGCAGAGAGAAATAGGCTAATGTTAAAAGATCAAAGATTAAAGAGATATCAATTTATAGAGGATGATTGTTTGTGGATTTTTACTTGGAAGGTCGTGAATACGGAGCGTTGCGGTAGCGCGAACTTGAGCCCGATGTCGTTGTCGTCTTGTACGATTTCCATGCGCGGCTCGATGATTCCTCTGCGAATTTCATTCAGTGATTTATTTTGCATCAACCTACAACGATCGCTTATAACACACTACGCGAAGCAGGTGTTAACACCGAGTCTCGGAATTTTTTTCCCCTTTCTTTCATTTTAATCGGTATTTAAAGTGAATGTCCACAGAAACCGGCTGATATATATTACCGAGTTAAAGTTCCAGATTTGTTATGCGAAGACTATTCGTGACTATTTTAGCGTTCGATATTACGGAGAAGCTCCCTGAAAAACGCTCTATTCAACGCACGAATCAGATTCGTAGCGTACGGGTGCCCGAACACTCGCGAAAGCTTCTAATTTTTGCACCCATTCAAAGATAAATTCGCTAGCGATATAATTGATTTTATCTCTCTATTTTTTTACGCTGCTTTAACAAAGTCGTTAAACAAGGATTGTATATACGTGGCTTTTGAGCTTCAACGTCAAGCTAAAACGAAGCGTGCACGTTTCTATGTACATCTTCAAAGAATAAAATGAAAAACGAAGCAGGAAACAATGTTTCTTACGAAAGAAATTCACCGGCTTTCAGATTTCGTCAAATGTAATTGAAAGAAAAGAAACTTCTGATCGCTCAAACATAATCCGTTTAACATAATTTTAGGACCCATACCCATATCCGAAATAGATCTGATCGTTTTAGATTGCCGGTACAAATATTTCTAACTATTTTGTCATTCATTTAAGAGTGTATGTTATTTCGAGAAATGTGAAGAATTTATGCATGTTTTAGAATCATCAGTGGTCCCACTATTTATTTACATTTTGGAAATATTTAACCATGAATATAAAAACTGTTGGGAGCATTTCACAGACTTTAAGAGATAGTTATTGGAGCTGAGTCTTATTAGAACTTTTTATTCATGAAATGTTCATTAAATTTTCACTTTATAACTTTAAATATTAACGTTGTTAAACAGTTCGTGCTCCAGTAATTTTTGTTTATATATATATATTAGATAATCGTGTTTCAAAGAGTTTAATTATTTTTATCGAACAAGAATTCCATGGTTCTGTGTGAAATTATTAAGAGATTTAAAGTTGATAATATTGGTAGTGTTGCAAATATTATGTTAATCGTGTACATCGTTGATACGTGCACCTATATTTATAATTGACGATTCTAAGCATTCGGATGAGTAGTTGTTTATCTCTACTTACTAAGTATGCTAGAATAATAAATAGAAACAAGTTACCTGGATACTCAGACGTTTCATAGTACTCGTGGGACGAGTGCGGAACGCTGTCGTCATCGTAGTCGTATGTTGTGTACCTCAAGGAAGGATACATATATTATCTCTAGATGTTTTGTAAAAATATAGAGCGCAGAGAAACGATAAAACTACGAATCTTACTTTTCTAAACAACTTCTGGAGATGTAAAGCAATTAAATGGAAAGAGTGTCCTATTCAGATTACACTAAAAACACACCACTAACAAAATAAATATTTGTAAAAAAAACTGAGAAATCGCCGATAAACAAAAACAAATTTCATCGACGTCAATATTCATTGATAGCAACACCCTGTGATAAGAAATAATCCGTCAATCTCAAAACAAATATACAGACAAGTGGAATAATTAGAAATAAAATGTATACAAATCTAGTCGACGAAAACTCAAATTAAATCCTCTGAAAAGATATAGCTTACGCGAAATTGTGTGGTTTAAAAAAAAAAAATTTTCTCTTGAAAAATATGCAGCTTAAATATATGAATGGATTCTTTTAATTAAAAATGTTCATTAACTTACCCTGATGTTCCTGAACTGTAATGTCGATCTCCGTATCGGCTACTGCTGCTCGTCGAGCCATGGTAGTCATAATCGTGATGCGACCCAACGCGATTGCTTGGTGGCGGGGTAGCAGTCTCGTAGCTGCAAATAGAAATTCGCAAATATTTAACAGAATTCACCCAATCGCGTTGGTACGATGACTCATGTACCTATATGTGTAGATACCTACCCGTAACTCTGATCCATAGCGACCCTTGCGCGATCCAAAATAGAAAATACTTTGCTCTTCGCTGATACTGGCCGGGAAAGAGGTCCTCGACTCGATGGCGGTGGCAGTATTGCAGCTAAATATATATGATTCAAAATTATAATATTTATATGTTAGATATTATTCGAAATATTTTTATTTCTTCTATACGGTTGAATATGACGGAGCTGTTAGTCATGATACAAACGGGGTCAGGGAGACTCTATAGCTCAACTCCTATTCATAAAAAACATACCAAATTTTTATTTAGAATTTTTATTGTGTTCTTTAAATTAATATAAGAAAATGTTTTTAAATTACAAAAGGTCGACTCTAGAGGTAAATGCGTTTTTAACACCTACCTCTTGATGATCGTGGTAATGTGGGTCTAGCAGTAGGTCTCAATATACCTCCTCCGCCTCCAGCTGGAACTCCCCTAACAGACGGTCTTCTGTCGTCGGTGCTCATCGGATCGTCGGCCATATTCATCTCCATTTCTCGCATCTGTTCCTGGCGTATGTTGTCATTGTTGTCGGGAATCAGGTATTTTCGAACCTCGGCTAATGCGAATGCAATGCGAGCGTAAGCTTCTGCTGGCGGTGCCAGAGCTGTTATTTCTACATGTAGATCATCTGACAAATGCGCGTATTTTGGGTCCAAAGACATACGGCACTCCGCTTCCTAAAATGAAATATATTTATTGAAATTTACTATGTTTTATCAATTATTTTAGAGAAATATCTTTCGATGAACCATTAAGGTATACCTTTTGACGATCCTTCATAGATCCTCTTCCTAATACTGCCATTTTACACATAGTTTCCTCTTGCAAACGTTTCATAGAATTTCCTTTCGGACCCAACAATTTTCCAACAAAATTGAACTATAAACAATACCATTGTTTAAGTTTCTTTTTTATTTATATATAAATAATGTATAAAATTGATATTGTAGAATATAATTACCTTGGGATGTTCTCGAACCGGTACTAATACTTTTACCGACACACGAATTTGCTTTTCACGATAGATATCCACGTATTTGGGATCCCTTATAGCTTTTCCCATGGCTTGAGTCTTCTGAATTTCTATTGTGCAGAATAAATATTCTTAATTACACAGTAGTGCAACGACATTTTTTATCGAATCAAATATCAATTTACTGTGCTCTGAAAAATTACGCATTCACAGTGATACCGATCGACTTTTATTTGTATAATTAGTCATTCAAAAAAGTTGCAACAAATGCATGATATTCTTGTGCATTTACATCTATTCAATTTTATGTAGCTCTATAATCACAAATATTAATGTTCGATCAGAATATAAATCAATCCGCACGAATTATTTCCACGAAATCGAAGTTTCGTGAAGAATTAAGTTACCAATACATCCACGAAATGAGCACGACGGTATAATGAAAAACGTCAACATAAACACTACAAATACAGAGACATGCCAATAATTCGATCGAGAGAGTAATAATGGTATTTACCTTGATCGATTAATCTGGTCGCGTTTGACCATTTTTGCGAATCCAATTCAACTTTTTCTTGCAAAAGCTCACGGACATATTCCCCGACTTTATCAACTTGATGCTCCTTCTCCTCGCGTTCATTTTCCGACGAACCTCTCGTTTTGATTTCGGGTTTGTCCTCCCTCTGATATTTATAGTCACCGTTGCTCGGTCTGTCACTCATGATTGGTATTATATTATCGCGTACTTTGCAAGATACACGAGAAGCAAATTAACGATCTTTTCGATCGAAAAAACGAAGCGTACTTGGATCAGACACGCGACGCGTCTTTAGGATAGAAGAGCAATGGCTGACTATTCTATCTTCATCTCCAGCTAAACTTAAGGCGGACATTCATGGATGAATTTTTCACATGTACATATGTACATATACGTCCAAAAAAAATCAAATTTCTGCTGCAATACAATTTTGATAACATAAAAGTATGTTTAATTAGTGTTAGTATAATATTGATTAGTTAATTAGTATAATATTTGATTTGTTAATGGATCGAATGCCAAAAGTAGAAACCTTCTAATAAGGAGGGTCCCTGTCTCTAGTCGCGCTAGTCAAAAGTACACTGTGGGGCCAGCATTAATGGGATCAAAAATTTATATTACAGGTGGCACCACAAGTACTTTAACTTCATTATTTAAGTTGTACATATGTAATTTAATATTATAGGAAATGAATTCGGTTTTATAATTGTTACAGATTGAGAGGGAATGTTCTTGTAGTTATTACGTATTTCTAAAAAAAAGTAAGTACTGCCTTAAACAGGTTTTTGTATCAATATGTAAACATTTCCAAATAAATACATTATATTTGATGTTTGTATAATTTACAGATGGCAAGAATATTGAAACCACACTGTTGAATATGTGGGATTACGCGATATGTGAGTTTCTTTGTGTTTAATTTATGATTTGTTAATTATTTACAAAAAATACAAATCCTGAAGACAAATGAGTTCACAAATGGATCACATTATAGTAATACGAGGCTACAGGCCAGGGGATGAAATAAATTGTAAAGAGTTGATGAAATCTGGTGTGATGTCATCGTTAAATTCAACATATTTTGGAATCGTTTTCAAAGAATTAACATTCCAAATGATGATATTATTTGCTGCTATTATGTTCATTTTCTTTGGATTGCCCCTGACCATTTGTATCTTAGTTGTACCACTTGTTATTTTCTTCGTTTATGTTGGAACTTACATAGGTTTCACCACGAAAGCTATGGAAGTCAGCGAAGAAATTTCTAACGTACCAAGGTAATAAACTATGGAAGTAAATCTATGATTTATCAATCTGGACACAAGGTAATTCGTAGTAATTATGATTATAAAACAATGTTTTCGTTTCTTGCAACAGGATTTACATGTCGAATGCCTTTTCCTGTTTTTGGGTTGCCGAGGCATTCGAACCGTATCTCATGACGGAAAACCCAAAAAATACTCATTATACCATCATGACGGAGCACCAATTCCGTAATTCAGATATCGACATCTCGTCTCGAGTTAAACGAATAGTGGGCACAGTTGCCTTGTGCAAAAGTCATGTATTAAATAAAGGGGCATGGATTAGAAGATTACACGTACATCATTTATACAGGAGGAAGGGAATAGCTTCGTGCCTTATTAACGTTGCCGTGTCGTTTGCAACAGAGCAAGGATATGCTTGTGCTAACATTGTTGCCTCGGAGTATACAGAAGGTGGAAGAGAGTTGTGCCTTAAGAAGGGTTTCGAATTGAAACTGATGTATCACAAACCCATTTTGGGTGCTTTTATAACTATATTGATGTATGAATTGACATATCAGATTAAACCTGGCGAGGACGATTATGCGCCTCATATTTTTGATAAAGCAATGCTTAACAAGATCTGAAATTTTGAATACTCTAATAAAGTCTGTACAAGATCGATAAGTCTGATCGTGCATTTCCTAATAAGAATTCTAGGAAAGTTGCACTCACTATTACATACATGGTATTAATAATATTTTATAATGTTACAAATATTGTTACAGATAAAATTTATTTTTTAACTTAATCGTTAACAAAGCATCTTGCAAAATTCCATGTTATACAAACATGTTGTATCTGTATAAATCACTTATACAAAATATATTTTTCTCAATTTTTAATATTTTCCCAATACATCTGCACTTCTTTATTCTCCCAATGCTTCTCTGTTATTTTAGACAAATACCTGAAACATAGATTCTTAATATATTCGTGTGCTGCTCCTATTATTTTTTAAAGAA